TTAGGTTTTTTGAGAAGTCGGTTTTTATGCGCAGTTTTTTTATTATATCATTTTAAGTGTAAAGCTACATAGACCCGTTTTGTCACTTATAATGCAAATAGGTGCAAAGTTCTAATCAATATAAATTATACAAACCCAAACCAAGTGGTTACGTGAAAACGACATTCGCATTGGATTTGCATTTTGACAACACCATCATTTTCACCACCCTCGAAAACCATGAAAACGATACCCATGACGATAAATTAAAATTTCATACAGCAGGAAACATACATAAAAAAGAAACAATCATTCGAACATAGTGCCTCCTCATTTTTTTGAAGTCGGCAAAACAAACAGGCGTTAACCCTGAATAATATATCCCGAGCTGTTAATATCGTTTTGTTCGCAGCTCGGGATCGGCCAACCCGCGTCTTCGTTGGACGACTATATAGACTGTGACTATCCATCGTATATGCATGACTCCAAAGCGCAAGCAATTAAGCGTATCGAAATCCAGGATCTGTACTTAGAATGGGTAGAGGAGATGCTTCACAAAGATTAATAATAAAATTATTTGGAAATATATTTTTTATTAATAGTAAAAAATAACAATATAAAACTTATACTAAATGCCTTATTAACAATGGTCCAAAGGTACTCGTAAAATATGTAAGTACCTAGGTACTTACTTATGTAACGTGAATAAGTTACATATAAGTTCTATACAAAATTATTCATTAAAACCTTAATAGATACCTTATTTACAATTTTGTGGCCGTTAAGTTATATCATTATGATATGAGCTTATAGCACCGACTTCTTACCTGTCAGTGAGTGGGTAACCTATCAATGCTAATAGTTGTTTTTTGCGTTTTAGTTTTTACTTTTTGTTTGTTATTAGTTTTTGGTTTTTTTAAGTCGGTTTTGTAAACGCAGTTTTTATTTTAACATTTTTAGTGTAAAGCTACGTAGTTCCATTTTGTCCCTCATAATCCACATAAGTGCAAAGGTCTAATCAATACAAATTATACAAGCCCAAACACAAGGTAGTTACTATAAACCGTTGAAGAGTTCTCTTAACAATAACACTTCTTCATCATCAGACCCTTAGTGACAGTCCCACTACATATAGGTGTAAAGTTCTATATTAAAAAAAAAAAAAAATCAAGCCCAAACACAAGGTAGTTAATATAAACCGTTGAGGAGTTCCCTTGACTATCTGTCGGCTCCATCATCAGGTCGACTCCAGACCCTTATCAAATTGTAGTGTTTAAAAATACTAATTGAAAAATATAATAGATGCAGTACTCGCCCTACATTTCGAAAGTTCCCTTCGGTTTTCCTAGGATTCCATCATCAGATCCTGACTTCATGGAAATGGGACCATCACGGGAGTATACCCTGTCAAATAAAACAAGACTTTTGGAAATAGGTTCACAAATAGCGGAGTAATTTCCTCCTCCTTTTTTTGAAGTTGGTAATAATATATATCGTTTCAGAAAGCTGTGTAAAATGTGTGTGTTCTAAAATTCATATTCTATGCAGACGAAGTCGTGGGCAATAGGTAGTTTACGATATATTCTAGGATATACTTTTTAAATGATCGGACTCAAACGTCAATCAAAGTTCATTTCAATCAAAGTTCGTTCATTCAAAGTCTTTAGTACCTAGATATACAATCCTAACAGGCTCGACGTGCAGGAGAAGGAACGGGGTGGTTTTTAGTCAGTAAGAGTCTGACACTCCCCTCCGCCTCACCCAGGCGGGAGCAGTCATTCGATGATTTTCCCCCTTAAAAAAAAAAAAATACAATCCTAACAAATGTTGTGTCTGAATTTTATATCACTTCTGCATTAGAGAAAAGATATTCATAGAAGTAGGAGTGCACAACATTTATTTTATTTAAATGAATTCAAACTATTTTCATAAATAATGATTTCAATATAAAGCATCAGTTAAACTTAGATTTTGATAAATATTAGGTAAGTACTAAACAGACGAATAGGCTATTCTTCAACATTTTGGTTTTTTTAAACGTGTTTTTTTTAAAGTTTACATATTATGTGATTATCAAGTATAATTTTTATTTCAGCAAAATATGACCGGTTTATGCCGAAAAAAATATAAAAAAACTGTGATAAAATATACGCGCCAAAACACGGACCGCCAGTTTGGTGACATCAATAGCACGAAAATATTGAAATTTAAACGTCAAATGGCCAAATCTTACATTTTGTAAACAAGTTGGTTGCGTTGCCATTTTGTTGTATTTATAAAATAAAAATGAGTTTAAATAACCCTTATCGTTGGTGTGTTGCGTTAAATTGCAAGAATTCTACATTAAAATTTTATTTATTAACCCGTCATGTGCCGGTACGTAGATCTACGCGAGACACAATGCATTTTCTATTGTGTCTTATAGAGGTATACCGGCAGTCAAGAGGTTAAACACAAAAAGTAGTTAAAATTTGACTTGACAAGAATGCTACTGTTTACTATAAAATATTTTGATGCTTCCGACGTCACTCTCCAGATAATCATGGCGGACGGCGTTTTTGGTTACGTAACATACAGATAATAAAACATTGATTTTAACTTTGAAATTTAAAACTAATCCTATTTTTTATGGAATAACAATTTTTTTTAATTCCTAACATTTTAAACTATACAAATAACATAACGTTATAATTTATTGTTGATAGATGAGAATACCCTATTGGTAAATGAATTAGATTTTGTTTTAAATCCATATAATTTTAATTACAAACAATAAAAAAAATTAAATGATGTATCAACAAGATTATTCTGTACAAATCACATAAATTATACACAACACAAGGCAATAAAAATATTTTTAACATAAATGCAAATATAACTAATTAGATTATGTAGTATAATGAAAGACGTTACAGGTCTTGTCCATCCCTGCTTCTTCTAGGCTTTTGTCATGGGCACTTCTTGTATTGTCTATAAGGATTGATATAAATAAATCTATAGATGAGAAATACTTCCATTGATATTATAAATAAATAGATGTGAATTACCTTACTTAGTAAGACCACACTTTGACAGTGGTAATATAATCGACAATAGACACTATATATTGGAGACTCGGAAGTCATTAAAGAAAAAAAAACAAGAATTAAGATCTGTCAAAGCACAACATACGTGCTAGTATAACAATTTGGTAGTTCTGACAGGAAGGTTTTCCGGGAGTTTGGAAAATTCGCTCGGATTATTTTGCATTTATTCATTACCAGCATTTTCGTTGAAACTTAAACACGTTACACACAACAAACAGTTGATGGAACAGTTGAATTGCAGTTTTAACTGAAGGTGTGTGGCTGTATGGGCCCCCGATTTAACTGTACAGTTCGACTGTACATTAAATTTAAAATTGCACAGTCAAATCATAAGGTGTATACTGTATAGTGTGCATTAGATGTACATATAGTCAATTTTGAAAAAGACACCAGTCTCTTTCTCCAGAACTCTTTTCTTTTAGTTCCAGAACTACAAAGTGTCATTAGATGATGCCATCTGCAGTTTTTTACTTTAGGTACTGACTTGACAAGGTTTGAGTGACTGTACACAAGGCTTGAGTGACTGCACCCAAGCCTTGTCTAAGTAGTCATTGTAGGTGATTAATGAACCTAATGCAATACAAGTCAACAACCTCCAGAATTAAGTAATGATAACTTATTTTGTTTGATAAATAAAATAGTCTCTCTATTACCATTCATTAAGTATACATTCGTAATAATCTAAGAAATAATTTAATAAATATCTATATCATAAATTATTACTAACTTAACGCTGTCTCAAATAAAGCCTCTTCTAGTATCGTGTGTTCTTAAGTAACAATTAGTCGCAAAATGATTGATTTCCGAAGTACAAAAACGATGGATTTGATTGTCTTTTTTGCATATTTCAGAAGAGAATCCACAATGTGAAGAAATATATCGAACGTCTGTCAGAATACTAAAGTATGTCTTTATGTTGTGTGGTTTTCAATGCAATTGTATTGATATGAGTAAAATAACTCTCTGGTATTACTAACATTGGCATCGAATCTTAAGTAACACCCTCTCGGGGACCTTTTTTGAATAAAAGATATGTATTTGTGTTCTCGTTTTTTCTTACTTCATAAGTAAGCGTGGATTCTATAAGATACATTGTTATAAATCCAAGGTGTAGTTTTGAAGCCGTGTCATTTCTCGGGAACATGTCACAGAAGTCATAAAGGTTCAATGTAAGAGAAAGTTTCAGGCCAATAGTTAAAAATACGGTTATAATAAATCGTTTAAGTTCGACAGTATTTCAGAATAAGGGACAGCAATGTTTCTTATTGGAGTTTTATGGAATTAGGAATAATATCAATTACGTGTTTGAGTTTGTGTGTGTTAAGCCGCGTTATAAAGCTAGTTACAAGACGGCGGCGTGTAGTTCGCAATTACGGATTTCCGTAATTTCAGAAAAATTATAAATATTTACCGACAATTTTTTTATTGATTCGGATTCAGAATCGATAGCCAACTCGGTTATTGATTCTGAGTCCGAATAAAAAAACCTCCTAGAAAATGATGCGGCTTTAAAACAACACCTTGTATAATTTCGTACTGTTACATTGTTGTGATTTTATTAGTTGTGTGATGACAACGTAGTTTTTTATTATTTCACTGTATTGAAATAGAGACGTCCCTCTCGACCCTTGAAAACTATTGAAACTATTGCATTGTAATGAAAAAAAAATTCAAAATACTAAACTTTAATTCTTTGGATACCAAAGAAAAACGTCACTATTTATTGCGAAATAACCTAATTTTATTAATAATCTAATTTATCAAAATAATCGTTGGCTAATATTATTTTGAATATAGTACAGTAGTAGTAATTACATTTAAAACTAGGAGGAAGTACAAAATAGGCGGTTCTAGTAATCAGATCTTAGGCGGATTTGCCAGAATAATTTCACTATGGTTTGACTTAATTTTGTGGTTAATTTTGGTGATCTCTAATCATTTGCTTGCGCAGACGACTAGCAGAGAATAGGAGCAATTGATTGACGTGTCTCCGATGTTATTGTTATTTATTTCTACGACACCGATCTCTTGGGCCACCGAGTAGTAATCTTGCATGAACTCTTCATACACATCTTTCGGCATGTCGAAAGGTTCGATAGCTTTTATAGTGTCTGAAAATAGAAACAAGGAAGTTTTACGTAATATAAAATCAGTAACTTTTGCAATAAAAAAAATACCATTCCGTCAGTCGTTAAAATACATAGGTGCTTACTTTTCATAGCTTCTACGCTGTCAAATTCAAAACGCATTTCCTTGCATTTCACGTCGATATTTCTGAAACCGATTTCTTGCATCATTTGAGTGACTTTCTTTTCTGGTTCCTGAAATATGAGTTAAATTAATTATGTTAGAAATAGTTCATCAGGAAGTAGTTTCAGATTCTATTAGGTTTGCAACAATGTATCGTCTAGATGAGTACTGATAAGATTTTGAGATACTAGTCATTGTGAGTGGTCACGTGTAATCATTTAACTTTTAAATTGATGATGATATTGCTGCCAACAATTCGCATGTAGTATTATGTGTTATTTTTCGTCGGCCTTCATCTAAACTACGTCATCACGAACATTTACTACATTTTTTGATCACTTTTGTACTCATTGTCGGATCGAGTGTTAAAAAAAGATAACAATCTAATTTCCCTCTTTGTTTTCATGTATTATTATAATTTATTGCACTTATTATATAAATTTATGATCTTTCTGAAATCTTTAGAGATTTCTTACGCATTCAATGATAAATAAATGGCAGTACCTGCATATCGTGATATGGTGAAATGAACTTTTGGACGTCTTTCAACCAAGATTCCCATTTGGAGCACTGGGACAATATACTATAGACACTGTAAAGCGGAGCGTAGCCAAGGAAGGTGAGGAGACAGTCGCCGCCTTCTTCTAGAAGATTGTAGATATTTCTAAACGCTTTCCTGAGACAGAATATTATATTCAATTTAGAAATTAATAAGTATCATAATACCATAATAGCAAAGAGATTCTATATTTCGAAATTAAAATGAACAATCATATTTTTAGGCGAATTCAGTCACTCAAAATTTAAATATTGTGTTTTAACGTTCAAAAGTGCCTGGTCTAATTGAAATAAAAGATTTTGACTTTAAATTGAAGTAGACTAAAAACTTACTCTTGATTTCGTATCCAGTGCAATGCATAAAAAGAGAACACATGATGGAATGCTGAATGCATTTCTTCAGGCAGATCTCCTTGGATGTCCATCACTTTGAATATGGTGACTTCATCACTGTGATGTTCATTTGCATATTTCACAGCTTTTTCACTTATGTCACACGCGACTAACTTCTTATAGTTACTAGGCATGTATTTCTTTAAGATAACCGTGACACTGCCATCACCACAACCTAGGTCAATAGCGCTGTCTCCAATGTTTTTCCAGTTCATTTTCTTTGCATATTCATTAAGACATTGGACTGCTGCATTCTTTTGCATAGAATTAGCCACGTTATACAGTTCTGGATCGTTCATTGTGATTCTGTAAGAAACGAATAGTTTAGGTACGTATGCAGGAAGTGGTGCTAAGTAATTTGTTGTTAATGTAGTTTCCAGATGATTATCAATTTCTTTTCATTCGAGCCTCAAATAGTTTTCCTGTTTGTGTCATGTTCTAACATTGTTACAAGGCGATTTCGTACTAAGCTAACCGAAAATAGACTAGCATTTATCATACTGAGATCCGCCACCTTTGGTTACTGCTAGAGACGAAGCAAATCCTAATTTCGCCCGGATTATTTGCGATTGCAGATTCATTACAAGCATTTTCGTTTACACATAACGACTATGAAGATAGGTGCCCAACATGTAACCTCCGATGTGCGGTACATCAGATTCAGCTCAAAGCAGGAGATTATGGAGATTATCAGAGCGGCGGGTCCTTTTTGCCAGGATCGGGCGAGACCTGTCTCTGCCAGCAGTAGTTACGGCTATGCTGGCAGAGACAGAAAACTGGAGGGAAGTTGCCACCTTTTGTGAGACTGTAATGTCCCAAAACGAGGCTGCTGAGCGGGATCGTGAGAGTGCCGATCCCTCACGTCGAAGGCGTCGAGGAAATAACCGCCGCGGCGCCTAATATGTTGATTTCCTGCCTACAATATTGGTAGTCAAACCTGGGTCATGGGCGCATAGAGTGGGGAATCTAGGCGCTCACCTAATGACCTCAAGGATGACGGTGGCACAGTGGTCACGCGCCGCCGTGCACTGCTCAGAGAGGTTCTAGGAGAGTCACATGGGTCTCCATAGGGAGGTGTCGTAACAGACGTCGCAGTGTGCGGGCTCCGGAGTTGGTCTATTAAGTGGACCCGGTGCCTCTTTCAAGTGCGGATGGTGGCCACCGGGGAGGTTTTAGTGAGGTAAAAAATCCCACACTCCCTAGTCTTTTCCCGTCAACAAAAAAAAGGAGATTATGGCAAGTTCCTAAAGTGTGTACCACAATGATCTTAGCATAAGGTTTGAAGGAACTACACTATAAAAAAATTCGCCGCTTTGCGGGCTCTACATTCACGTGGCGGGGAAATTATTTTTTTTTGCCAAAATGTTCATAACGAATGGAGAACCGTGGAAATCAGTTTCGTGCGTTCTGGAGATATAGCGTCTGGAAGGAAAACCCGACTTATTTTTATATAGTAGATTAAGTTCATTGACAAGAGCGTTTTTTGCGACTTACATGACATGAAGATTTCATTGTTTTATCTATACTAATATTATAAAGAGGAAAGATTTGTATTTTTGTATTTTTGTATTTTTGTATGTTTGTAATGAATAAACTCAAAAACTACTGGACCGATTCCAATAATTTTTTCACCATTAGAAAGCTGCATTATTCAGAAGTAACATAGGCTATATAATATCACGCTAGGTCCTATAGTTGTGGAGCAGTAACCAAAAATGTTTTAAAAACGGAGGAAAAGTGTCGTTTCTGAGGCCTTCCGTGGCGTGCGCTGGGCATATAGTTAAAGTTATACAAAAATGCTCTATGGATGAATTGTTCATCTTAACATTCTTTTTAAAAAAGTCTGCGAGAGCATATGTCTACCTTTTATAGTTTACCCATAACAATCGTTTTAATGAATTGTTCAATCGGTTACCTTATGACTATTAATTCATCCAAAAGATACCTATTAGGTAAGTACTTACCTGCTATTTCAAAAATACATAAAAAAGGCCCGGGGCGGCGCGCGGCGTGAAGTGACTAGCCAGCCGGGCACATACCGCGAATCCCGATGATTCCGACGGATTTACCTATATCCTTTAAAAGGTTACAGTTTCCTGTGAAGACATCGTTTGCCCTTACGATAAATAAATCACAGGGGCAAACTTTTTCGATTGTTGGCGTCGACCTAAGAAAAGAGTGCTTTTCTCATGGGCAGTTATATGTAGCCCTTTCTCGAGTAGGATCTCCTAAAAATCAATATGTTTTGTTAGCACCTACAAATACCACTGCAAACATAGTTTACAGTGAAGCCTTAAAGTAAAATGTAAATATTACGATAATTTGATCAAACACATAAAACAAAGAACTTTAACAAAAAAAAACAAAAATCTTTAACAAAAAAAACCTTAAAACAACAAAAAAAACTTAAAAAAAAAACTTTAACAAAAAATACCTTAAAACAACAAAAAAAAAAAAAAAAAAAACCTTAAAACAATAAAGAAAAACAAAAAAAAAAAGAAAAGATGTAAATATTTTTCAATAAATGTAAAATAACAATTTAAAAACAAACTTTTACCTCAACCAAAACAAATAACAACAAAATAGGTAGGTTCCTATTTAAAAAGAAAATAATTAATTAAATAAATGAAATAAGTAAATGAAGTCCGGAAAAATGTTTTCAAAAGGTAAATACTTCCTAAATAAAAAAAAACTGAGAATAAATATAAATAAAACGTAAAACTATGTAAAAAATCTTAAGTCCCCCCGTGCGAAGCCGGGACGGGCCGCTAGTCTATACTATCTATACTAATATTATAAAGAGGAAAGATTTGTATTTTTGTATTTTTGTATTTTTGTATGTTTGTAATGAATAAACTCAAAAACTACTGGACCGATTCCAATAATTTTTTCACCATTAGAAAGCTGCATTATTCAGAAGTAACATAGGCTATATAATATCACGCTAGGTCCTATAGTTGTGGAGCAGTAACCAAAAATGTTTTAAAAACGGAGGACAAGTGTCGTTTCTGAGGCCTTCCGTGGCGTGCGCTGGGCATATAGTTAAAGTTATACAAAAATGCTCTATGGATGAATTGTTCATCTTAACATTCTTTTTAAAAAAGTCTGCGAGAGCATATGTCTACCTTTTATAGTTTACCCATAACAATCGTTTTAATGAATGGTTCAATCCTTATAAAAGTTTGCTCTAGATAACTTTTGAATTGTTCAATCGGTTACCTTATGACTATTAATTCATCCAAAAGATACCTATTAGGTAAGTACTTACCTGCTATTTCAAAAATACATAAAAAAGGCCCGGGGCGGCGCGCGGCGTGAAGTGACTAGCCAGCCGGGCACATACCGCGAATCCCGATGATTCCGACGGATTTACCTATATCCTTTAAAAGGTTACAGTTTCCTGTGAAGACATCGTTTGCCCTTACGATAAATAAATCACAGGGGCAAACTTTTTCGATTGTTGGCGTCGACCTAAGAAAAGAGTGCTTTTCTCATGGGCAGTTATATGTAGCCCTTTCTCGAGTAGGATCTCCTAAAAATCAATATGTTTTGTTAGCACCTACAAATACCACTGCAAACATAGTTTACAGTGAAGCCTTAAAGTAAAATGTAAATATTACGATAATTTGATCAAACACATAAAACAAAGAACTTTAACAAAAAAAAAACAAAAATCTTTAACAAAAAAAACCTTAAAACAACAAAAAAAACCTTAAAAAAAAAACTTTAACAAAAAATACCTTAAAACAACAAAAAAAAACAAAAAAAAACCTTAAAACAATAAAGAAAAACAAAAAAAAAGAAAAGATGTAAATATTTTTCAATAAATGTAAAATAACAATTTAAAAACAAACTTTTACCTCAACCAAAACAAATAACAACAAAATAGGTAGGTTCCTATTTAAAAAGAAAATAATTAATTAAATAAATGAAATAAGTAAATGAAGTCCGGAAAAATGTTTTCAAAAGGTAAATACTTCCTAAATAAAAAAAAACTGAGAATAAATATAAATAAAACGTAAAACTATGTAAAAAATCTTAAGTCCCCCCGTGCGAAGCCGGGACGGGCCGCTAGTCTATACTAATATTATAAAGAGGAAAGATTTGTATTTTTGTATTTTTGTATTTTTGTATGTTTGTAATGAATAAACTCAAAAACTACTGGACCGATTCCAATAATTTTTTCACCATTAGAAAGCTGCATTATTCAGAAGTAACATAGGCTATATAATATCACGCTAGGTCCTATAGTTGTGGAGCAGTAACCAAAAATGTTTTAAAAACGGAGGAAAAGTGTCGTTTCTGAGGCCTTCCGTGGCGTGCGCTGGGCATATAGTTAAAGTTATACAAAAATGCTCTATGGATGAATTGTTCATCTTAACATTCTTTTTAAAAAAGTCTGCGAGAGCATATGTCTACCTTTTATAGTTTACCCATAACAATCGTTTTAATGAATGGTTCAATCCTTATAAAAGTTTGCTCTAGATAACTTTTGAATTGTTCAATCGGTTACCTTATGACTATTAATTCATCCAAAAGATACCTATTAGGTAAGTACTTACCTGCTATTTCAAAAATACATAAAAAAGGCCCGGGGCGGCGCGCGGCGTGAAGTGACTAGCCAGCCGGGCACATACCGCGAATCCGATGATTCCGACGGATTTACCTATATCCTTTAAAAGGTTACAGTTTCCTGTGAAGACATCGTTTGCCCTTACGATAAATAAATCACAGGGGCAAACTTTTTCGATTGTTGGCGTCGACCTAAGAAAAGAGTGCTTTTCTCATGGGCAGTTATATGTAGCCCTTTCTCGAGTAGGATCTCCTAAAAATCAATATGTTTTGTTAGCACCTACAAATACCACTGCAAACATAGTTTACAGTGAAGCCTTAAAGTAAAATGTAAATATTACGATAATTTGATCAAACACATAAAACAAAGAACTTTAACAAAAAAAACAAAAATCTTTAACAAAAAAAACCTTAAAACAACAAAAAAAACCTTAAAAAAAAACTTTAACAAAAAATACCTTAAAACAACAAAAAAAAAACAAAAAAAAACCTTAAAACAATAAAGAAAAACAAAAAAAAAAGAAAAGATGTAAATATTTTTCAATAAATGTAAAATAACAATTTAAAAACAAACTTTTACCTCAACCAAAACAAATAACAACAAAATAGGTAGGTTCCTATTTAAAAAGAAAATAATTAATTAAATAAATGAAATAAGTAAATGAAGTCCGGAAAAATGTTTTCAAAAGGTAAATACTTCCTAAATAAAAAAAAACTGAGAATAAAT